AGAGGCCACAATAGTGAGAGGCCCGCATACTGCAAAAAAATAAAAATAAAAAAATAAAAATAAAAATAAAAATAAAAAAATTTTTAAAAAGGGTTTCCCTGGTGGCATAGTGGTTGAGAGTCCGCCTGCCGATGCAAGGGACACGGGTTCGTGCCCCGGTCCGGGAAGATCCCACATGCTGTAGAGTGGCTGGGACTGTGAGCCATGGCCACTGGGCCTGCGCGTCCGGAGCCTGTGCTCCGCAACGGGAGAGGCCACAGCAGTGAGAGGCCCGCGTACCGCAAAACAAACAAACAAACAAAAAAACAAAACAAAACAAAAAAGATATCAAAGACTAAAATCGAATGTATGACCTTTCTCTGTTATGGAACATGCTCTTGGAACATATCTTAGCATATCTTCACCCAACCTAAGGCCATGAAGATTCTATCCTCGTTTTTTCTCAAAGCTTAACAGCTTTAGTCCTTCTATTTAGGTCCATGTTACTTATTTTTTGCACACAAATGTCTAATTGTTCCAGCATCATTTGTTGAGGAGACTGCCATAGGCACCAGTACAGATAAATCTAAATCTGAAATGCATTTTGCTGAGTGGAAGAATCCAGACATAAAAGGCTACATATTACATAATTGCAATTCTATGACATTCTGGAAAAAGTAAAGCCATAGGGACAGGAACCAGATCAGATGTTGATTGCCAGGGACTAGGCGAGGAAACTGACTATGAAGGGGCACAAGGCAACTTTTCGGGACAATGGGAATGCTCCAAAATTTGACTGTGGTGAAGTTACAGGACTGTATACGTTTGTTAAAATTCAAAGACTTGCACAACTAAAAAGGGTGAATTTTACTCTATGTGAATTATTCTGTGATAAACCTGACAAAATGATCAAATGACAAGATGACCTTAAAAAAACTGAACTTAATCCAAGTTAAAAAGTAGCAAAGAAACTAAAACGTGGAAAACTAAACAGTCACCTCCAGACTCCCTTACCCTATGGCTACCACTCCTAAATAAGAGGGAAGAAAGCAATGAAGAGTGAGCACCAAATAAGGCATTATCCAACAGCCACAGACTAGTGACCTACTGCTTTAATGAATAAGACAAAGAAACAAATAAAAGCTAAGCCTAAGAAAAATAATCAATGAAATCACATTTACCTTTGGAGTCAGCATTTGGGAACAGCCTGTTCCATGGCACCTTATTTTTGTGCGGAAGAGAAAGCAAATAGTTTCTAGCTTTTAAATTTATTATACAATTCAGGTCTTCCTGGGATGGGGATCCAAGAATACCTATCAGATAAAATAATCAGCTGTTAATTATCAAGACCAAGGTAAACCAACTGCATACCATCAGCAGTGGGGCAGAATGGGCACTGACATTCAATGTCTTCTCACTACCTCCCAATGCTTTTTACAAAGTCCTTAATGTTTTAAATCAAGGAAGATTTAAAAAAAAACTCATGTCCATCACAGGTTGAAGAGTTGCTGGAACTCTTCTTAATTTCCTGAGGGTACTCTGATGTACACAGTGGGTCCCCAGAATGCTCACGAACCTTACCCAGAATGTGGTTCAGCTGGTCGAGGTAATGCTTCCCCGGGAAGATGGGCCTGTTGGAGAGCATCTCTGCCAGGATGCAGCCTACAGACCAAATATCAATGGACTTGGTGTAGCCCTGCAGTGGAAAGGAGAAAAGATGGAGAATGACCTTTGCTGTTCCATGACACAACGAGACCTTTCTGCATGACAGGCACAGGGCTGCTGCAGTGTCAGCTTCTCCTCTGGCTCTATAATTCAGAAATAAGAGACCATGGAGAGACAAATATCATTTGACTTTCTTATAAGACACTAAACAACCCAGATTGCTTGATTTTATTTCTCTCTTCAAAGTTGATTGTTATTAAGTTAGAATTTCTGCAGTATACTTCTTTTTTTTTTTTTTTTTTTTTTGG